ATATGAGATCTAATCTTTATTTCCTTCTTCTGCTAGGTTTTGGGTTAGTTTGCTGTCCTGAATTCTACTTACTTAAAATGTAAAGTTATTGGCTTGAGATCTTCTTTTTAATGTATGTGCTAAAGACTGAACGTTTGTGTCTCCCCAGAATTCATATGTCACAATCCTAACCCCCAAGGTGATGGTATTAGGAGACGGGGCCTTTGGGAGGTGATTACGTCACGAGGGTAGAGCCCCATGAATGGTATTAGTGCTCTTACAAAAGGGACCCCAGATAGTTCCCTCATTCCTTTTGCCATGTGAGGACACAAGAAGAAGTGAGGCATCTGTGAAGCAGGAAGTGGCCCTCACCAGACCCTGAACTTGTTGGTGACCTAATCTTGGACTCCCCAGCCTCTGGAACTGTGAGAAGTAAATTTCTGATAGGTGACCAGTTTATGGTATTTTGTTACCACAGCCTGAATGGACCAAGACATTCTGTGTGTAAATTTCCCTCTTAGCACTGCATTTGCTGCAATCTATAATTATCTTAAAATGAAAAGTTTACTTAAAATAATATCAACCTCATAGGCTTTCTGTGAGGATCAAATGAGACAGTATTTTGGGAAGAAGACTCATTCAGTGTACTGACTCCTCTCATCTGTGCAGGCACCGTGTGAATGCTGACCTTGTAGCAGTGAATAAAATAAACTAGGTTCATGCTATAATGGGAATTTTATTCTCGCTGATTGCCACATAAGAGTGAGTTGTTACTTTTTTAAAAATTGTTTAAAACTGGTTTGATAACATCCACTCATTGAGACGTAGCATTCATCGAGTGCTTACATGTAATGAAAATAGACTCAAAATGATCGCCAAACTTGCCCAGGTACCAGATAGAACCAGAGGCAGAATTCAAACCCAGATCGGAACCTGAGGTTGCGGCTTATAATGTCTAAATTGACTGCCTTCATCAAAGGGGCTCTGTTCTCTTTGCAGGGTGATCCAGAGAAGACAGCCCAATCGGAGTGTGGGGACTTTTACAACACTGGGGACAGAGCAACTATGGATGCAGAGGGCTACATCTCGTTCCTGGGAAGGGATGATGACATCATCAATGCCTCTGGGTAGGGGTGGCTGACCCTGGGCTGGCCCCTCGCATGCCTTGTGGGATCTTGCTTGCCCAGACATTGCTTCATTCACTGGTGATGGGGCCCTCAGCCCAGTTCTGAACAGAGCCACGTCTGTGGTGTCCTGACCCCAGGTACCTGTGCACCTGCCCCAACCGTTGCATCTAGAAGAATCAATCAAAATGAAATTCAGGAGGGTCTGGAAGAGGAACCATAATAAGACATCATGCAATCTAAAGACAAGGGGAATGGGATTCGGAAGTGAGACTTTCTTTTGGCCAGCATAGGCTAGGGGACCTTATTTTTTGTTTGTGCTCCTCTAATGTGGCACAAGATGTCACAGGAGAAGCATCATCATAATAATAGCTAACCTTTATGCAGTACTTCCTAAGTGAAAACTCTCTCCTTGGTGCCTTATACAACCCACCTCTCAACACTAGAAGGGAGGTAATTATTATCCTCATTTCACTGAGGGTAAAACTGCCAACCAGGGAAGAAATTTGCCTAACGTCTCAAAGACAGTGCACGGTGGCATCCAGATTTGAACTGAGTTACTCTGGCTCTGAGCCCTTGTCCTTAACCCCTGTGTGATTTTAAAAAGAGAGAAGAAAAGCCACATTATACCAGAGTAACAATTTCCCTTGAATATTTCAGAGAAATTGAAGTGATTTTTTTGATTGCTGAAACATGCTGATATACATATACACACACACACACACACACACGTCTGTGTGTGTGTGTGTGTGTGTGTGTGTATTAAATACTGGAAATTTGTTGAAAGTAGATTTGAAATGTTCTCAACACAAAAAAGGTAATTGTCTGAAATGATGGATATGCTAATTTTATTCATTGTAGTAATCATCTTACTATGTATATGTATATCAAAATATCATGTTATATCAAAGCATGATGTGGGCTGATTTAAAAAAATCACATCATGCACCTTAAATATATACAATAAAAGCCAAAAAATTAAAATAAAATGAAACACACTGATACGATGGGCAATAGGATGGAGAATTCGCACGAATGTTAAAGACAAAGTTTAAGACTTCTCAGAGATTTCCTGCCTGGGGAAGCTGCGTGGGCCGAGCACGCAGAGCTCTGGGAGGACCCAGCATTCTCCCTCCTCCCTCAGCAGAGGCAGCGAGGCCAGAGGCCGCTCGGGCAGCACCTGAGCCTCGTGTTTTTAGCACAGATTGTTCAGGTCTTCACATTTGGGGTGCATGGCACGGGCAAGTCACTGGTCTCTGGCTCCCTATGTCCTTCACCCTCTGTGCAAAGGGGAGATGTAACCATCCAAAGTAGGAGATTTGAGGACTGAGTCCGCCCCAGGCCTGGCACGTGCCTCAGAACAGTGAATCCTCCAGGTACCGCATCGGGCCGACGGAGGTGGAGAACGCTTTGGCCGAGCACCCAGCGGTGGCGGAGTCAGCCGTGATCAGCAGTCCGGACCCGAAGCGAGGGGAGGTGAGCAGGACACGGAGGTCACCGTGTCTGCGCGTGGGCACTGGGCAGGCAGGTGTGGGGGGACTTCCAGGCCTTGGACCTAGGGTGGAGGGAGAGCACGTGGGGTGCATGTGCATTTGCACGGTGTGGTCAGCAGGTCTCAGTGTGGCCCTGCCTGTGGCTCTGATGATACCCGAATCCTTTAACTCTCACAAAGCCAAGTAATCTAAGAACTCTTATCTTATACTCTCTGGATAGATGAAGAAAGAGAATCATAAGGAAGTTAAGTAACTTGCCACATCACACAGCTAATAAGGAATGGAGCTGGAATAGGAATCCCAGCAATGTGGTACGAGAGCATGCATTCAGTAACTGTTTATTGAGCACCTGCTATGTGCCAGGCCTTGTGCAATTAAACGGGGATATAAGTAATAATTTTAAAATAATAAATATTCAACAATTATTAAATTCCCACTGGGTTCCAGGCACAGAAATGTATATACAATAATAGTAAAAATGATAATGATAATGGGAATAATAAAATATTTAAACTGGTTGTATGTTTTATATGTATAATCTCATAGAATTTTTTATAGGAACCCTATGAAGAAGGAATCTTTTTTGTCCCCATTTTGCAGAGAAGGAAACTGAGGTTAAGGAGAGGTCATTTTTCAAGGCACAGAGTGGAAATTGGAAGTACAGGCATTTGACCCTGGTCCTTGCCTTCTCCAAAGCCCATGTATTCTTAACCACTCTATGCTCCAAACGTCAACTCACCTTTCCACTCATTCCATAAACATTTGCTGTTTACACTGTATCATAGGTTGTCACTCACCGAGAGCCTCTGCTCCTGTTCTACAGGTGGTGAAGGCATTTATTGTCCTGACCCCGCAGTTCCTGTCCCAAGATCGAGACCATCTCACCAAGGAGCTGCAGCAGCACGTGAAGTCACTGACGGCCCCGTACAAGTACCCGAGGAAGGTGAGCGAGGGCAGACGGATGGGTCTGGTGTCCCTGAGCAGTTCCTGGTGCTCGGCTGCCCGCGTCTCATAGGGTGGCTGTGCAGGGGAAGCTTAGGCAGCCAACAGCGCTGGCTTTGTCCTCTGCACAAGCAGCAGTTTGGCTTAGGGAGGGGATGGAGCAGTTGACTTATTTGGACGGCAACTGCTATCCCGCATCAGAAACAAAAAAAGGAATCATGGCAGGTGTGTTAACCTAAAGAAAAAAATCAGACAGTGCCCGAACATATTTAAAAAGGTCATTTATAATCCTGCAAAATCTGCAAAAGGAATCTAAATCGGCAGCTTCCAAACTATTTTTAACATGATTCCTAGTAAGAAATATATTCTATGTTACATATATATTTCACATATATATCTTATGTATATAAGAATAAAATAAGTTAACAAAGTGATATTTATTTTACAACATGTAATACATTGTTATTTTTATTCTACTTCATTTGTTCTAAATGCTGTGTACAACCCACAAAAATGTCCAACAGTAGAGAAATTACTAAATTATCCATTAAATTGGATATTATCCTATAATTTAAAATGATGCAGATCTTCTATTTTGACATAAAAATACCTCAACAATATATTAATAAGAGAAAAACACAGTTATGAAAAAATATCCATAGTATTATCCTGTTTAAAAGTAAAGTTCGAAAGGGTATATAGAGGCCAAACGTCAGCGTTCCCGCCTTTGCGATACTTTGCTGCGTTGCCTGAGTGTTCGGCATCGATGCGCATAATGGAACCGCGCGGCGGACGTGGGTCA